TTTTTAGATTTACACATATAAATAACATATAAATAATTATGACCATGATATGCATAAAAACTAAAGTTGGCTATATTTAAAGTTTAGATCTCCTGAATGTCGGAGCTTTAATACTGGAACATTATTCATGTTCTTTCTTCAACGTCTTTCTGTTTCAGGACTTTTTTCCTGGAATCTCTGCTCCATTTCTGCTTCAATGCTGGAGACGATTGTTCGACCTGGAGACAACATCACCCTCTATTGTGACTGCAGGTCGTCCACTGGAGTATATATAGTCTGGTTTAGAAACTGCTCCCATCAACATCAACCCACTCTTCTGATGGAGACAATTGGAGATGCAACGTACATTGAAAAAATTGAAAACTTTTATCCCCGTTTTAAATTTTTAAAGAATCAGTCGTCCGACTCGTATGACCTGCTGATCATAAACGTCACTGATTCTGATGAAGGACTTTATTACTGTGGAACAACTGAACGAAAGGTGGAGAAAGAAAAAAATGGAAATATTTTCTCTAAAGACGTCTACGTCTATGGAAACATCAGCACAAGGATCAAACTCTGTAAGTTCTTCTTTCTCATTTGATCACAGAGCTTCTAGAAGAATAATTATTTTACAAAAATTGGACCAAAGTGTTTTAACATTAATGTGGAGCTGAATCAGAGAAAGATGAAACATCAAGATGTTAATGAGTGGATTCATCTAATGATTTATTTTGAATATTAAAAATAAAAACACTGCAGGAAACTTCTCAAGCATTGATCAAACAGACGAATGTACTTTTAATTACTTTATCATTTGACCTTTATTGACCCCAGAAAATAGCTATTAAGATTAAACATCTCTTTTTCTGTAGAAATCTGACAAAAAATAAAATAAAACATAAAATAGAAAATTAAATCACCTTTGAAACAGTTACAATAAATAATAAATAAATAATAAAAACTGTTCCAAATGTACTGAATGCATATATGTAATAGTGAGAAAAGAATCTTACATTTCTTTGGTTGATCAATAATCATTCCTGTTGATATTATGATTAATAAAATGATGCACATTTTCAGTATTTACTGGTAGAGATCAGCTAATGACATCCACAGAATCAGGAGGTGATTAAGAAATAATTATCTCTGTGTTAAAACTACAGACTAGAACAATCTGTTTAGATGCTTTTATTTGGGGCTCAATAAAAAATAAAACACAACTATTAACGTTTTTTTTTTTCCATAATGCTAAGCCTTTTCATTAAATGTGACAAATGCAGACCCTCTGAGTGAGTTTTTTTTATGTGTCTCGTTTTAGATGCAGGGTCTGGTTTCCTGCATCAGAACATTTCCAGGCCAGTGGAGGAGTGCGGTTTGTGCTGGAAGCTGCTGTTCTCTGTCTGTCCTGCTGTTTCTCTGCTCTCAGCTCTCTTCTCCTCACTGCTGGTCTACCTGCTTTGCCTGAAGAAAGGTGCTGAAGATGACTTTTGACATTAAGAAATGTGAAACCAACATTTTTATTCAGTTATATTGAATATTTTTTCATACCTGCAGCAAACAATGAAGCTGAAAATAAGAGATGTGACATTTCAAGACAAACAGAAGGAGCTCAGGTAACAAACAACAGAACAGTTATTTGTTTTTGTTTTATAGAAATTATCTCTGTGTTAAACTTTTTCAAATAATCATGATTCTGAATATTAATTCCTAGGATGAAAATGTTTGTTAC